CTGGGGCATCGGGTCACCGAGTCCGTCTACTACCCATGCGCTCTAAGAAGCATTATGTTCATGTGCCGTACAGTATCCAGAAGAAAACACAACGATTATTTATCTCACCCTGTCTATTTTGTATAACATACAACAGGTGAAACACGTCATGTGTAATGAAGGTCTTAGTACAAATACTATTTCACCTATCAAATATGATATGATCAGTATACAATACACAGGGAACGGCCTCACATATAATAATGCGTAGTTCAGATGTCGCCATATGACCCTTGTATCATGATGAAACACAGTTTAGGATTTCACACTGTTTTACGATTCTGTCTAAACCTCTCCAGAGCAGTGCATATTGAACCGAGTCGATGTTGTGAAATGTCATCCCGGATTTGAACGCACTTCGTGATACCGCCCACATCAACATATCATATATCTACGTGGGAATTAGAAGATGGCGTTTCGATGATGACCGAGTTGACAAGTATTCTAATTGCTTGGAAGCACTTTGGGCATATTTATGCACTGAATATGAATACGTATTGATTTACATACTACACTTACAATATGTAATCTGCCGCGCAAAAGGTGACTAAAAATGAAATAAACAAGAGTTGTTTATGCATTTGATAGAGGTATCATAGTTGTGTTTGAACCTCAGGCTTGCAGTGTTTCGGAGGCTGTGATCAGCCTTGAAATCAAAGTTTTGAAGCCAATGAATCAATCAAAGATCAATGTAATGTTTGGTCAAATCCAATTTTCAAATGTAAATATTTTGTACCCTGCAATTCACGTACCGCGATACAACATACATACCTGATCACCTGATCAGGATGTCTGCCTGTGTGTGTGTGACTTGCCCAGTGTACAAATATATCAACTGTGACAAAACATTAACACAGCGGTAATCATTAAACAACTACACGTGCATGTACATGTTGATGTGTACAAGGCAAGAGACACAATGTTAGTTGATAATGAATCAAATATTTTGCCAGAAAAAGAGTATTTACATATATTATAACCGCGGGATATTTCACAAAGAATGTTTATTCATCAAATATTACCTTAATTCCTTCAGGCGGAAGCATTAAATATTAATTTTAGATTTTAGCCCAATTAGATATATAGGCCGGCCACGTCGGGATTGCCGGCATCAGGAATGGAGAAAGTAGGGATTTGTGAGAGACAGGATATTTTTTCGGTATTTCACAACGTATTATATCAGCACACCCAGTTTGTGTCGCGAACATTTCATTTTGAGGGGTGGAACTCGAGGACAGATTTTCAAGACAATAATTGTGTAAATATTTACCCAATATAGTGTGTGAGGAAGGATAGTTCAACACCGTTTGTAGCAATATTTCAGCCATACCCGGCCAGACTTTACGAACACGGGGAATCAAACTCTGGTCTTCGGCGATACGAGCTAATGCTTTAACCACTGGACTACCCCACCGCCCATGTGCGGTGTATTCACCCGGGAGTTCTATACGTTGGAACTCACTAAAGAGGTTTGGTGTATTTAGGGTGTCACTTGTCTGACTGTGTGACATCATGTCTAGCCCAGACAGGATGATTTGCAGGCTACTGTGATGTATCATGATCACCTCAGTATAAAACACCATTCCTACCCACACTGTATGTGTTGTGTCACAGGTAGAGATGGCTTTGTTAGGGAGCTTTGTAACATCCATATGCATTGTTCCATCCAGACATATGCCACGTCTATAGTATTGTTTCATCATGCCTGTATCGCACAGATGCACACTGTACCCAGGATCGGTGTAGCTTGAGTTGTCTCCCCTGTTTGAAGCAGACGACCGTCAGTCATGGCACACACGACTTCGGTGCAAGTTTGTTTGTTTGTTTGTTTGTTTGTTTGTTTAACGCCGCACTTAGCAATATTCGAGCTATATGATGGCGGTCTGTAAGTATTCGAGTCTTGAAAAGACAAGTCAATGAATGACATCATAGGCATCTCTCCACACAATAGGGATACGAAGACATGCATCACTCAAGTCTGCCAGCCTTACCACCCGATCCCGTTAGTCGCCTCTTACGACAAGCATGGGTTGCTGAAGACCTGTTCTACCCAGGATTTTCACGGGTCACTTCTATACAAGAGCTGCATTGCATCAAACTCTGGACGTTTCGTTCGTTGACAGTAACTATACCGTGAATAAAATATGCTTTGTGTATCGTTAGGCTACCCCAGTATCGATCACTAATTCCGATATGACATAGTGTATGATATAAAAGCTTTCAACATATGCGGGGCACGGGTGGCCCAGTCGTCTAAGGCGCCGCAATTCCTTGTGAAGTGGTGCGTCTTGGACACGCCAGAAACTTATGATCGTGGGTTCGAATCCCGGTTCTCCCCGATTTTAAGTTTCTAGGTTTGTCCGTACCATGCTCGTGCTCGTGGGTTTCACCAAAGTGGTAAACGTCTAAAACGTGCATCACTTAGGGCTTTCCTCCCATATTAAGCTAACTCGCTTTGATATCACAGGAAAACTGTTAAAAGCGATGTTAAACCCAACTCACTCATTCAGAATCTATCAGAACTTATATTACGACAATTATGGCTGAACTTGTGTTCTGATGATAAAACAACACAAAAACTTGTTATGATAATGACGAGATGGACATTACGAAGGTTTTGGTATAAGTTCTGAGCCTCACACAACATGAATTGCGTAAAAGTGAAATCTTTTGTTGTGGACACTACGTGATGTCATCGTGGTGTATCCACAAAAACTTGAGTCAAGCCAGCAAGTCTTTGTGACAAGTCAGTTCAATAAGCAGGGGTCTGTAACCTTTGGAACAATTTGAGGAGTGCAGTGGTCAAGTACTTGCGAAAAAAGGGCTTAACGTCAAACAAAAGTGACAACATCATTTCCATAATAACAAGAAAGTTGTGTCTATTCTACGATTCCGACTGTATCATAAGCATGTCTTTATAAATCACTATCAAATGGTGACGAAACCACCGGTGTTACACGTCACATGCTAAGCCGAGTCAATTGCTCACCAGAAAAAAAACAAGGGAACATATGGGGAATTGCATCGGACATCATTTTGGTCACTTATCAAATTTCGAATTATCCTCCACAAATTATCGAATTATCCTCCTAAAACTGTTTTGAAAGCTTTACCGAGGCCTTGAATATTGTAGCCTTGATCACACAGCGTTTGAACAATAGTCGTATGGCGCTCATTGAAATCTTCGATTGTACTTCCAAAGTTGTGAAATGTAGACACCAAGGGCTGGAGCTCCTGGAATATTGCTTGACATAAAGGTATAGTTGACAATAGAAAGTTGAAGTCATCCCTCTTGTCATACTGTCTTGTGGGGAGAATTTTGTCACTCTGAATCGTTATGCATAGATCTAAATATTTAACAGATGAAGAGGTATCACTGATCTCATTGGATCCACTTTATTCCTGGATGGATCATGGAGTACAGTTCTTCCTTAAGATCACCATGTGGTATAGTGGTGTACAAAGTTGAAAAAACATATTGACAGAACTGAACCTGCTTCTTTCCTGGTATTGTAAAACGTCAAGTAAGTCCTTTGAGTTTTTGAGAAACCATGGCTACATGGTATTAATTACACTTGTCTCAAATACTTTCCGTGAATATATAGAAAGGCATCCCTTGATTGTATTACGGATTATGGTTAATCTATGAGACAGGGATTTGATGATAAATTTGTGGACCAAGTAATATATATCTCTTTGTACCGGACTTTAACATTTGGGAGTTAACTGATTATAAAAGTCCATTTTCCACGCTGGACTTTTACAGAGAGTTAACTCACTTGCCTCGGGAATATGGACTTTTATGGAGCTTTTGAAAAGCCATCCATTAAGGTGTGAGTACAACACAAGCGTAGTATGCCCCTATCTATGCCAAAGTAAAGCGGTGGACAGCAGATGGCTTTGAAGACGACCCTCGTCCTGGATGGCCTGTCAGATCAGCAACACCAGAAATGATCCAGAGAATACGCGACAAAGTGATGACCGACCGGTGAATGACTGAGTGTCATATAGCTAGTTCAGTTGGCATTTGCCAGGAGAGAGTCCACTCCATTATCATCGAAACGTTTGGCAATGAAGATAGTATGAAGAAACTAGTTTGGTTCCATAGCTAATGACATCTGACTAAAAAAACCGCACAAGGTACAACGTCTCGTTATATTAGTCTAGTTCTGTTTGAAGCTGATCCAGAAAGGTTCTTGTCACCATTTTTTACTATTCCTGAGTCCAAACAAAATCGAAACAGCGGAAGCATTTGACATCACCACAACCAAACAAGGCAAATATTGTCCCACCAGCTGGAAAGTATATGTACCCCTTGTTCTAGAATGCGGGGGCTGTCAGCAATGTGGATTGTATTCCGAAAGGCCCGACAATAAATGGAGCATACTACGGGGTGAAATTAAAACCAAGAGACGTTGGAAGCTGAAAAAAGATGAGCTCTTCCATCAGGGCTATGCGCCAGTCCACAGGTCAATCATTGCCATGTCTCCATGACTGTGTTTTAAACTCCAGAACTCATTTCGACTCGAATGATGACCCCAAAGCAGACAAGGAGAACTTTTAGGACAGAAGGACATCGTTCCCAGAAGTGTATCAACGTGGAAGGGGACATCTTTTTAAATTTAATAATTTTAAAGTCTTCAGGTCAAGTCTTTTATTATGAGCTTACCAATCAACTTGATAAGCTGAAGTGATATTGAGAGTATAGATTTGTATGATTGTGATGTTAATATCACAGTCGTTAGATCTTCGTTGTAGCTTAAAATATATGTTTCTGTGCAGTCACTTTGGGATCGATACCAAACGCCGTCACTTCTTAGTCATAATCAATATGTGTCCGGTTGTGACTCTATTATGCATATTCAATTCTGAAAGAACAAAAGGAATTGGCTCCTTTGTGACTGAACCCTCAATACAGCGCTACTGAAACAGAAACCGTAGAAATACGAACACAAAAAAGCTTAATTTCCATTTTTATAGAATCATGTGACACATATGCTGAGCTAGCCTACCGGAAACAGCGCCATGTTGCACCTTCACTTCTGGTTGGCGACGTCAGGAACGACCACAACATCGTTGTTTCTGATTGTCCCATCATTATTGCTCACCAAATTGTCCCAATCATAACAGTAACACAGTGCCTATGAACAACCTAAACTGCCGGGCAAAAGAAAGTATATACTTGAAAAATGCATTTGACCAAAAAGGTATATATGTTATCAAAACGTTAATAGGTTGAAAACAGTCGCCGAAACACTACAAACGTAAGGTCCAAAAATACAACTATGATACCCGTATCAAATATATCACCGTCGAATAACCATTTTTTGTTTGACAAGTTTATTTTATAGCCACCAGCAAACATGGATGTATACTTTCGTTTGCCCGGCAATTTAAATCAATTTATACAATGATGATCTTTGATGAAAACCTCCTCCCTCCCACCCTCCCTCCCTCATCCTTTTCATCATGCCTACTAAACCTTCTCCATCTGTGTAGAATTTGTCCCCCAATGTTTCATTACCGAGACCACACGTTTCCATGAAAGTCGTTGCCTTCCATTGGCTTCTTAAGCTCGTGCATGATGTCCTGAATCAGAGTCTGGTCGAGTGGGTCAAGGCTTGAATGGTATCTACTGACCACCCGACCGTCCCGCCCTATGAGGAACTTCTCCCAGTTCCAGTACACATCACCCACCCTCAGGGGTGTGTAAAAGAGGTCGCTCGCAAACTGCAGGAATGTTGTGGGACAGTATTTCTGAAATTAAAAACAATGAACAGGCTTAACGACGTGTCAGCTTAATATGTGATGAAAGCCAAATTAGGCACGTGTAGTTAGACGTTAACCACTTCACTGAGAAAGCAAGGTTGATCATGTTAGTGTACCCTATGCTATCCACACTTAATTAGAATGGACGACGGAGTTTGGGGTGGAACCTTTATATTATTCACACAGCCAAGATGACAACCATAACAACATAGCTGTAATTAAGGAAGGCCCCTAAGACAAAACAAACATAAATGCATGTTAGATTCATTATACACTTTGGCTCACATCAAGATCATGCATACAACACTACCACTACATCATAATAATAATAATAAGAAGAAGAAGAAGAAGAAGAAGAAGAAGAAGAAGAAATAAATTCACGTCACATTTATCCAATTAAAATTAATTAAATAACACATACCATAAATGAACAGGGATTACAGCAGTGCAGGGCTACTCCAGTCAAGTTAAATGTTTAGGAATTCAATATTACGTTTTACATAATATTGACGTGAAACAATAAATGTTACCCTTACCCTATCGATGAGATAAGTGGAAATGCCAACGACAACCATGAACTATTACATGCATTGTTGCCATGAGTTTCGTGCAATAGTAAAGTAGTAATTGGTCATCAACTTCACTGTTATCGATAACGTTCTACTACTCCTCTATTAGGAAGAGAATTTATGGATGTCAACTTCTTTATTATGGGGAACACAACGGTTCGGAGTATATGCTTACTCCTTCATCAGGCATATACTCCGAAAGGTTGTGTTCCTCATAATAAAGAAGTTGACATCCATAAATTCTTTTCCTTATGTGGATCACTTCTAAATGCCTTTCCAAAACTTACTTCGCTACTAATCGCAAAATAACACAGAATAACCCTTTCGACATATTTTGACCTTTCGCCAACGATTAGCAATGCCGCTTGGACGATGTGTAAATTGGTGTCATTGTAAAATGGTCATAAAGATTTCTTTGGTCATAAATACACCCTAGGTATTGTAGTCCTATTTTCCGAATGTTCCCTGCTCATATATGCCCATTAAAGTTGCCACAATGTAATAAGGCGTGGAAGCTATCAAGACACGTAATGGCAAGACACAATGGGTGAGAAGGTCTAACTGGGTGTACTAGTGGGTGTAAATTATCTATATCGAATTACAAAACTTGTCCATCACTTGTAACTGTAACTATTGACAACCAACAGACTGAACACCAAACAGCACGAACGACACCAGGAAAGGTCAAACGTTGTCGACTATCCAAATATAAGTATGTATGTGAATGCCTACTTCTACCATGGATGTTGGTGACGTAGTTTTGTCTGTTAAAATTTATTCATCAAAATAAATTATTCTCAAGAATCGCCCGCTCCAAAAATGTCCCCCGTCCCTTCTATTATTGTTAAAATACTTAAGCACTGACTGTCAGTGAACGACTTTTTCAAGTGAAATTTCGTTCTTCTAACTTTTTGCAAAGCTCATGCCATTTATGTATGGGCACTTCTTGACACACTTCCACAGCGGGCGTGGCCAGAAGAGGTCACGTGGTGCATTAGAATCAAGCTTGCTTTAGTATTGTTGTAACCTACTAAAAACATCCCCCTTCCTCCACCAAGTCAGTTATAAACGAAGCATGTTAAACAAGAATATTTTTTTATCTGACCTTAGGGTAATTAGTTCCAAGGTATTCTTGTATAAACTCCCTGATATGGGTTTTGTGTCCTTAAACAGACGTTTTATCCCTTAAGTGTATTAAGGATGTACGAACATCTGCACTATCAAATCTTACCTTCAGGTACGTATAGAGAGGGGCCTCCTTGTCTCCATTCACGTCGATCTTCTCCAGGAGAGGAAAGTTAGGCTCGAACCCGCCCCCAGGTCGAACATATCTGACGCCGTTCATGATTTCAGTACCATTGGCTCCAGGCTCCTCCTGAATAATACATAATATAGGAGCATTCAGGACCCAGTTAGTTACTCTGCTCCGATATAAATAACAAATAAGGAAATACCTTTCATTAAATATTAATCTATAAAATGCGTGAGTGAATGATGTTTTACGCCTTGAAGAAGTGAGTGAGTGAATATGGTTTTACGCCTCTTTTAGCAATAATCCAGCAATATCACGGCCGGGAACGCCAGAATGGGCTTCATGCATTTTACCCATGTCGGGAATCGACTCCGGGTATTCGGCGTGATGAGCGAACGTTTTAACCACTAGGCTACCCGACCGCCCCACGAAGTGAAGAAAGAATGAATAATGCACTGTGAAAACATAATAACCCGAGCGCTGGGCATTAAGGGGGTTAAATGAGGACAGGTTAGCTCAGATCGCCAGTACACTGTGTCTGAGCGGGGTGTCCATGTTAAACTGGACGTGGTATCTCAGTGTGCTAGCAGTGTAAACTCGGCATAAATCCAGACAAGAACAAGCAGTCACACACGCGCATGCAAAGTCGCTATGAAAGTACAAGAATCGTGGACGCGACGTCATATTTTCCCATCCAATTTCACCTCATCTCCAGCGGGTGTAGTCTCGCAGTCTACGAGTAGTGAGTAAGAGTTGGGTTTAACGCCGTTTTAACGCTATTCCAGTTATATCACGGCGTGTCAGCTTGATGTGAGAGGAAAGCAACAAGTGATCTAGGACTCAGACGTTCACCTCCTGGGTGCAGCCAACGCGCACGGGTATGGTGCTGACAAACCTTGAAACATTATCGGGGAGAACCGGGATTGAAACTCACAATCATAGGTTCCTGGCGTGCCCAAGGGACTCAACTCTGCACAGCGAATTGCGGCGTCTTTGACGACTGGGCCACCCGTGCTTCCCAGCCATACGAGTACCAGATAGTTAGATATTATCAGACGGACTCTTTTTAATTATGTATCATCAGTCACCATTTATATCGATGTACAGTTTACTTTACAAATAAAGATACATCCTACTATTGTTACGACTACACGCTTAGAGGTTTTCTTGGTGGTTATGTTTAAAAAATTAATGCTTTAACTATTTTTATCCTACTATGCACATTGAATTTTCGAATAACCCTTAGCGAATTAAGTTGTTTTACTGCATTGTCATCTCTCAAAAACAAATCTAAAATGTTTTTTTCTTTCTTTTGTGGTCACGTATGTATTGATTCAATCAATCTCCTTTTCCACAATTTTTGTAATACACAAACATGTCATGTCGGAATAAATGGTAAGGAAAATTAACTTTAATTATGTTAGTCAGGACGGTTAAGTTTATTGATTGAACAGTTATACATTTCCAATACTGTCCCACACACTTCCGTACATTAACGTTATCTGCTTGATTAAGAATGTCATTGTTATTACCAAACTATCAAGTGCTGTATCCGAAATCGGATGTTGACTACGATGACCGTAAGCGCCGGTGTACTTAGTCTGACATATGACAATTACATAGTGATAACAGTAAACTCAAAACACCTGAACATCGATACCCATACTTTCCTCCCCAAAACTTGTTTATTTACACACATCGCATGATTAAATAAACGTCCATAAACACAAGGGTTTGTGATGTTTGCTGTCTGAGGGAGATGGGTAAATATTCCCGATGTCAGTATTGACATTCATAATTTCTCTCATGCGCTGCGTTTCCTATTATCGATCTCATCGTAAATTACCGGGTGGATTACCTGGGCGGTTAGATTACAATGCTTCTGTTATTATGCTCACAGACTGCAGCATTCCTGTATCGTTAGTCTAGCCTCAGGATATACCCGGTCCCATGGGCACCAGAAAACTATGCCGTGCGTGTGTAAAGGTCGTTTTATTTTGTTACTATTGAAAAATTAGCGTTAATAAATAATAACTTAATAAATTCTTAACATTTAAAAAGCATGTAACGCTTGTTGGCTAGTCGTGCTAAAAAACGGATACAGTAAATTACAAACGACAATGCCAGAGAGTTTTTGGTCTCGATTCCAAAGGAGGGAGGGCAAACAAAATTTTGATGAAGGTTTTATGAATATACATGTCACTGACTCCAGGTGACAGAAAGGTACACAACTCCTGCTCTACTGGTAGCATGAAACAGTCAAAAATGAAATGGGTTTAACACATTTAACGGGATGCGAACCAGTGTCCTCGTCTTGGCGAGCGAAGCTTCAACCTCTCTGGAGGCCACTCTGAATTACCATTGTATCACGGGCCTATTGCCTACAATACTGAATGAATAAAGCTCCAGATATGATTGTATAATGTTCATTAATGATTAATGATATCTTAAATATGCATATGAGACATTCCGTGTATCATGATGGTTGACACCGAGATTTGGCTTAACACATTATTCATACAGGGAGTCGAACCAGTGTCCGCTCCATGTCCCTATATGTTAACTACGGTGGCCCATAAGGGACATGGAGTCTGTTTTTCAATATTTTGATATTTCACTTACTGTTATCGTAACCTTTTGCAAATTAACACGATTTGTCATACAAATATGTGATACAAATTTGCAAAAGGTAATGATGAAAGTAAGTGAAATATCAAAATATTGAAAAACAGACTCCATGTCCCTTATGGGCCACCGTAGTTAACACATGCCCAACAGTAATCATCCCGATAACGGAGTTTCCGGAATAACGAGGTTCGAACTAACGAGGTTTCACTGTATCACGAAACGAATTCCCACCTTGCCGAACTGGTTGCATGGAAAACCGATTATACGTAATCCAGGCGAACCGAACTTCTGCTGGAGTGCCTTCATGCCGTGGTACTGTCGGGTCCATAGTCAGTATGTGGCGACGTTGACAATGAGAACGACGTCACCGCTGTAGTGATCAAGTCTCACCATCCTCTGCTGGTACACATCGCGGAATTTGTAGTCATAGATGGTCTCGTTTGACCCCGGGGGCTGTCGGCACGTGACTCGGGATACGCGGTCCGTGGGGTTCAACTGCCCCATGGCCGGGACAGCGCCCCCGAGGACCGTCACAAGCAGAGCGACGAGCGGGTTCATCTCATGCCTGACCAGTGACCGATGACGGGGACGGCGTGGAAGGGTTAATGCATTTATACCAGGATATCATGGGTGGACATTTAGCCCTGGCACGCGTGATTGGCAGTCGTGCAGCATGGGATATTAATGTCGCACGAGGCTAGTGGTATTAACGCTAAAACGTTGGCGTTGATGTCGTTGACGTCATATGTTTGGACAATTTGAGCAATGTTACACGATGCGTCATTCGCTTTGGATATATGAGGCATGATATGTTTTAAACCAACCGACACTAGTAATCCCGGGTTATTACAGTGAGTGAGTGAGGTTTATCACGGCTTATAATTAGCAGCTTAATGTGTGAGGAAAGTTCAAACTTTCCCAAGTCGTAAATATTTACCATTTGTTAGAACTCATTAATTTATTTTTTTTTCACAGTCCATTCGAGATATTGCATACTTTATGCTTTTCATCCGTTTCATGTTTAACAAGTCTACACATTTTCATAAACAAATGTCAAAGAATGGTTACGGTTTATTAAGAAAGTATCCTAATACGTGAAAATCTACTTGTTTTTTTGCGTAGTTATCCTTTGTTTACATTGGTTGTACGGCTCCACGTGCTGTCATCGAAGCCCAACGGAGAGCTAGCGATACGGTCACTTTAATGTATAAATGCAACTAAATGTCGCAGTTGTAGTAGCATATCTATATAGTTATGCAACACAATATGTAAAGCGCCCCCAAATACTTGCATTAGTCCGTTCTATACTGATTTCTGAAAAAGCGCGATTGTTTACAAACAAGAGAAACGTCCGGTCACGTAATATGCAAATTAGCCTATGGCAGTGGTGTTATGCTGAGTCACCACTGAGCCGGAGTGTGGTTTGAAGCGAACAAACGAGGATCACTGATATAACTGAATACTTACTCGAATTGCAACTGATTATAAGGACAATTATAAATGATTGTGTGTCCTATTATTAGGACAATGTTTTAAGGGAGACAAGATTAGAACGGCCAACACGGTGTTCTGCTGGGGCGGGCTTATTCCAAGACAGCAGCTGTATGGGAAGAGTGATACCAAGTTGCCGATAGAACGGGGCGGGCTTATACCAAGAAACCAGCAGTATGAAATGGTCTTTTTCCAAGGTACCGATAGTTAGGGGCGGGCTAAGATCATAACACTATTAATATGGAATGGTCTTAAACCAAGTTACAGATAGTACGGGCGGGCTTATACCCAGGCATTACGGGGCATGCTTATACTAAAACACTGACAGAACGGGGTCGGTATAAAACAAGATACTAGTAGTATGAGGTGGCCTTATAATCGAGGTATCGGCAGAACTGGGTGGTCTTATACAAATACAGTAGGGGGCTATACTAAAACACTGTAAGTACGAGTTGGGAGGGATTTCCTATGATTATTTATTACCAAGTCACCGGTAATGGGTTTACACTGGGACAACGGTAGTTTAGGGCGGGCTTATACCAAGACACTAGCAGATTCAAGTAGTTATACCAATAACCACCGTCCTGTAACCTATAATATGTTATTTCCATGATAAAGTTAAGACCATATACGACATCGACACGTAAACTAAGCTTATTTGGATTTAACCTACTTGTGAGTATTCAAGCGGAGGCATTGTGAGGAAATGGGTTCTTTGTTCACAGCAAAATAGGAGTATATTGATTATCATATATGTTATTCTTACGTCCAACGTAAGTAGGTCTTCAAATCAGTGTCTAGTGAAGTGTGTTGAAGCGTCCCGCATTACTGGGGGTTATTAGGTGGAAGAGATGGATTGCTAAATTAAAGTCACACACAGATACTTTATTGATTGAACGTGACAACTGAAATCTACTGGATATTTAAACCAGCTACGATATTCATCATTTGATGTCAACCATCTTGATAATATTATTAATATTTTCATAATGAAACCAACCCATCCTTAATGTGTTTTCTTGTGGTGAGATATTGACTTGCCTTGGCGTGTGTGTGTGATGGGTGCCACGGGCAGCACAGGCCACGCTCACCTTTCGCGAACACCTGGTATCATCACTGTTTGATAGTGATTCATAAACACATGTTTATGATATAGTCGGAACCGTACAACGGACAGCTTTTAGCAGAAATTTCTTAAGGTTCATGGAAATGGTTTTGTCTCCTGTAGTGCTGTACATAGGGCATTATTGCATAACACTGTAAAATGTAGGGCTACGGTAATATGCTAGAACAATAAAATACGTGATAACAGTGTACGAAGTAGTTAATATATACTGATATTTGAAATTATACTGTTATATGTGATCACGTTGCAATACTGTTATGGATGGTAATACGGGCGTTAAAACAAGGCAATATGACTTGTGAATACGACTGCAGCATGGGATATTATTGTAATATATGTTAGGGATGTAATGTGTGAAACTACACTGAAATAAAGCACTGCCTTCCATTCAGATCTTGTATCTGACTTTTCCATTATCCGAGGGGTTATCTAACCGAAGGATGCCATGGCATTATGTGAAACGTATGTATGAAAATCAAAACGGTAACTTGGTTGGTTTGTTGTTTAACGCCGCACTCAGCAATATTCCAGATATATGACAGCGGTCTATAAATAATCGAGTCTGGACCAGACAATCAAGTGATCAATATCATGAGCATCGATCCACACAACTGGGATCGATGACATGCATCAACCAAGTCAAGGAGTCTGACCACCCGATCCCGTTAGTCGCCTCTTACGACAAGCGTGGTCGCCTTTTGCGGCAAGCATGGGTTGCTGAAGACTAAAAAAACGTAACTACATAAATCATACTTGGAACACGGAAACGTGATGCATAAATTGCTGCTGGGTTTTTTTTCGGTTTGGATGATCACTTCGTTATTTTTCTTATTACTTCGGACATGTCAGTTTTCTCATCAAATAAAGATACAACCTTGCAAACTGATCGTTTTTATCCAGAAATACATCTTTACTCTAATCATCGTCTTGTCGTCAGTGCTTGTAAATTTGTACACATCACAGATATCGATCAGGCGGTAGATAAATATGATAAAGTATTGTTCATAACATGTTCCTAGGTCTATGTAAATAACTCGTGCTCTTAAACTAGTATACAGGATGTCCTGTGAGGCGACGTGGGACTAAAATGGAAGGACTACTGTTTATGGAATGTTTGTCTTATAACGTTATTGTCCCAACATAAAGCATTTAAGACCGCGATTGATCGGCAGTAAGGGAAGCAAGTAGTTGTTGATGTCATCATGTGACCAAGGCAACAGCTTACTGTATTGCTCCAGCTCTTGAAACAGCTATTGTGTTCCTCCAGCATCAACAAGCCGATCAGCATCACTCACAGACGATCAAACCAGCATCGATACAGATTTTCATACCTTAGGTGACACCAAGAATATTATCACAGCTCAAGCATAATCCTTTAAATTGCCAGCATAGCTGGCGCATGCATATTGGGCGCTATGTTTAGACCTGTAAATTGTTGATGTAGAAAGCAGCTTACAAAGGTGACTTCTTGACAACCATCAATGACCAGCGAGATCAAGCGCCGTGGCATGATTGCTGTATTATATCGATCGTTTTGCTCCCTTGGGGATATTTTGTCATTTCGAGCAGTAATGTTGTTGGAAGGAACAAGATTAAAAGAATATAACAGAGGAAAATAAACTCGTTAATCAATTCCGTTTGTTAGGATGACTGCGAACACTGTTCTAATAGGGCTGGTTGTTTTCGTGTAGTCGGGCCGACGGTGCTTTGTGGGATTGAAGTTAGGTCGGTTGTGTTTGTCCCGTGTAGAGTTTGGCTGTTAATGGTGTCAGGGCATTTGCGGTCAATACTCCACACAGCGTGAAGACAAGTTGTTGCAGAACCGCTCCATCAGTTGGCACCGACATTCTTGATTCTTGGCTATTCACAAGTCTGTTTTATAAGTGGAAAATCAATTCATAATCAATACCAAATATTATTTCAGAAATAGACTTTAGTAACTTTATGCCAATCCCATGGAAGTAACAATTAGCGTAATGTCGTACATTGCTTCAATACCTTGCACTCAAGATCTTCGATCCATGCTGTTATCTTTTTTATATAAATGAAACAAACCGTCACTATATTAATAATTCATGTTGTGTCTTTAAGCGAGGAATTGTCAAGCTCTGCTGGCATTGGTAAGGTCACGTGAACCAATCAGATATCAGTCATATCCAGTGACGTCACCAATTCACCTGCCTGTACCCGTCTCGCCCTCAACCCTGCAATACTTACTTGATAATGTGCAAATGGCGGACGGGGCGATGATACTACTTCTTGTATCTTTGGTAAGTACGACTGGAATATTGAAGTTATTATTTTATACGAATAACGTGTGAAGTGATGTGCAGTAATAATACGTACTATTTTTTTGTAGGTACTACAAGCAACTCAAGTCCAATCCGCAAGTAAGTAGAATAGACCGCTGTGCTCCCACGGGACATGTAACTGATGTTTAAATTTTGTCGCGATATAACTGTAGTGCAATGGTTGACATGTGTAAATGTGTTTTGTGGAGCTTCAACAATGTTTTATTACCTAATTTCTACGTTCTTGTTGATATCGTGTGATGTTTTAAATGAACTGTTTACATACATCACGTATTTAAAAAGAAATTACAAATAATAGTAATTCTGACTTGTCATTGAAATATATGAAAAATGAAATATAGCTAGTATATTTAAAATATTGATGTTCCTGTCTATGTCTTATTAATGGCTTAACATGACAGATTAACTATAGTAATAAAAGAATTGACTGTTCTTTAACTTCTTTTGAGTAGAATATATGAATACCAAACTAAAGGACTTACTGAATATACAGAAAAGTGGTAATATTAAAGTAACTTTTAGCATTGAAGTAACGGATAGGACGTATACTTTTCTGTTATGTATACCGTTATATATATACCGAGAAGATATCTATTTTCTGTATCTTTCTTTTAAAAGAGAGACGCGAGAATGATAATCCTTAATGCATTTCTAGGAATATGGGTTTTTTCTAAAATAACTTATGAAAGATTGACTAAATCTTTATGTGATAGTGATAAATCGTTGTTAATTTCCAAATCTTTCATAATTAGATATACAACTAATGATATAATATGCCACCGACAAAACATTAAGGGAACTCTTGATTTGAATGTAGCTATCGTTGGTGCGAACATTTACAATACGGTTTAGCTTTGCATCTGAACACAACATCTAATCATAACATAATTTCCCATCATGCATTGACAGTACCTGCTGCACATTCACAAAGAAGCCAAAGTGCATGCGCCTTTGGGGGAACTCACAATCACTGATACAACTGAGCTAAGCACTCGCTTAAAACTGACTCTGAGGCAGTATTTCAATGAACAGACAAAATTGTGGGTTCGATAGAGGGTGGGGAGTTGGGGGGGGGGGGGGGGGGGCGTCAATATCCCAAGTTGCCCAAATGTTTGGCAAATCAAAAAGTGTGTCATTTCTTGACTGTGGGACAAGAACCGTCAAACGGTTGGGGTTATAATGAGAAGTGGGCGTGGCAGGCCTAAAAAACACTAAGTCAAGATCTTCTCATGACATTAATTGCACAACGCAATGGATTCAGATTTGCTTCTGTTATCAATAGAGAATTCCGTTGATAACAGGAAGGCGAATTTCATCATATGCAACCGTTCCAAAACGGCTCGATGCAGCCCGCCTGAAAGCAAGGCGGTCTGTGAAGGGTGTGACTCTAACAGTTTACCAAAGGCTGTAAAGGTTGTGATGGGAGGGCAACACTAGGGACGGGCTGTGCGCCAATGGTGTTAAACCATGTTTACAGGCGAATCAAGGTTTTGCCTCCGATTCACAGATGGCAGAAAACGTTGTTGGCGACGTAGCGGCGAGCTGTATGCCAGGGCAACAATTATTGATCATGATCGCTGTGGGGCGGTAGTGTCATGGTGTAGAGCCGTACCACACATGTCAGGCTAACTGATTTATTGTGAATGGATATTAGAATGGCCAGCAATATTTTGACGAAATTAATTTTACGGACATTTATCGTCATTACACCTTTATTATGATTTCATCTGATCCTATATTGTTTTGTAGGCATATAATAAAGGCATCACCACTGCAACTGTTTGTAGATGTAGTTTTGTATTTACATAAACCACCTATGTTCTATTACAAAGTCAGCTGAACTGACATATAAGTAAATCTTAAGTTCCAGAGAAAATTGACATATGTTAATACCAGTACTATTCTGCAGCACACTTTACATGTGGAATCGGTTATTCTGTTACATGGTGCGAAATGTAACATAGTGCTGCATTAATGCTAAATGAACATGGGAAAACCACAATTAGTATTTCTGTTGCAATTGTTGTTGTTTGGGTTTTGTATATTTGTGAATTATTAAGTGAATATTAGTATCCCTTCCCTATCATACTATCAATCTCTTCATTATTGTTTTTACCTATTGAGTGTTAGGAAGGCATGTGAATCGCAGTGCTAAATGCATAACTTTTGAAAAGTAGTGCAAGTACTGATCATGATTGCAATTTCCTTTTAATTTAGACAACAAGAACTTATAGGTACTTTTCTTCCGGGATATCTTAAATTTCACAATTCCTCTTCGCCCTATATATAGTTCCATCTTTCCCCTTCACCATATAGTTTCACTATTCCCCATCGCCTTAAAGTTTCACTATTTGTTTTCTCCCACAAGTGTGGCGTAGCCTCGTGGTTAAAGCGTTCGTTCGTCATGCTAAAGACCCGGGTTTCTATTCCCCACATGGGCACAATGTGTGAAACCCATGTCCGATGTCCCCCGCCGTGACATTGCTGGAATATTGCTAAAACCGGCGTAAAACCATACTCACGCACTCACCCTCCAACAAGTTTTACTATGCCCCTTCGCCTTAACGGTTCAGTATTTCTCTTAGCCATTTTGTGTCAAGATTCCTCTTCAGTCTAACGCGCGACTATTCCCCTTTGCCCTGAAGTTTCGCCATTTCTCGTTGCTCTGTTTTCACTTATTCCCTTCGACCTAAGTTTCCCTTTTCCCTTTGCCCTAAAGTTTCATTATTCCTCATCGCCCCTTAGCTTCGTGATTCCTCATCGCCCCTTAGTTTTATGACTCCTCATCGCCCCTAAGTTTCACGACTCCTCATCGCCAATTAGTTTCATGACTCCTCATCGCCCCTTAGTTTCATGACTCCTCGTCGCCCCTTAGTTTCATGACTCCTGATAGCCCCTTAGTTTCATGACTCCTCATCGCCACTTAGTTTCATGACTCCTGATAGCCCCTTAGTTTCATGACTCCTCATCGCCCCTTAGTTTCATGACTTCTCATCGCCCCTTAGTTTCATGACTCCTGATAGCCCCTTATTTTCATGACTCCTCATCGCCACTTAGTTTCATGACTCCTCATCGCCCCTTAGTTTCATGACTCCTTATCGCCCCTTAGTTTCATGACTCCTCATCGCCTCTTAGTTTCATGACTCCTCGTCGCCCCTTAGTTTCATGACTCCTCATCGCCCCTTAGTTTCATGACTCCTCATCGCCTCTTAGTTTCATGACTCCTCATCGCCCCTTAGTTCCATGACTCCTCATCGCCCCTTAGTTCTAATATTTCCCTTCGGCCTAAGGTTTCACCATTCCTCTTTGCTCTGATGTTTCACAATTGCCTTTCGCCCTATTAGTTTCACAATTCCCCTTTCCTCTCAAGTTACACTATTTCCCTACACTCTAATGTTTCACAATTCCTCTTTGCTCTCAAGTCTCACTATTTTCCTAGCATTCGCCCTATCTGGTTTCACTATTCCTCATCGCCCTATATTTCCATTATTTCCCCTTCGCCCTGAAGTTTCACTATTTCCATTTCCCCTTTTTTTGCTCTACCGTTCCTCTTTGTTATCAACCTTCATTATTCCCCTTCGGCCTATTTGGTTTCACCATTCCTCATCGCTCTATATTTTCATTATTCTCCTTCGCCCTGAAGTTTCACAATTCCCCTTCGACGTGAGGTTTCATTATTTCCCTTCGCACTATTAGGTTTCACCATTTCTCTTTGCTCTGAAGTTTCACTATTTCCCATCGTCCTAAGGTTTCACCATTCTTCATCCCCTTCGCCCTTCCCTTCTCCGTCTAATTTGAGTTTCAGTTATGTTTCAAAATGCATGAATTCATACACTTTTAAACAAGGACCAGTCGTTGGGGAGTGAGTCATATAACCGCCTACGCGGTGTAATGGGTACAACGTCTGTCGGGAGAGCGGAAAGTCGGTGGCTCACTCCCTCGGTCGAGTCAGGAGGCGTAAGAAGATGATACTTCTTGTTACCACGCCTAGGGATGAAGGGTTGTAAAATAAGGATGTATCAGCTGTGGTTTCCTTGTTAAACTGCGGCATGGTATCTCAGTGAGCTAGTCCTATAAAACCGTTATTAATCCGGGGCAATAATAAGCGGCCACACACACACACACACACACACACACACACACACACACACACACACACACAATTTAAATGTCCAAGTGAAAGTGCTGAAATCACACGCTCAGTAATCGGCTTCCAAAACAAACTTATTTGCGGGCGTTTCCTAAAGCTACCGACGCAGCGTTGACAACTGTTTTTATTGGCTTGTATGTTTGCAGCGTTTATCTATCTTGTGATTCTTAGTCTTTATACATAATATATACTGTTTTTGCTATATCTGTTAATCCTACAAAATTAACAACATTGCATACATTGTTGAACGTGTGAAACAACCTTTGATCTTGACATTGTGAATAATTAAAATAACAATTAACATCCTGTTTGGATAATAAAACACCAGCTGCCCACGGCACTATTCCACACAATGAATACCCATTCAGGGATTAATCCCCTGAGTAAACAACTGAAGGCAACTTCAGTGTTGTTACTTGGTGATATAGGGGCGGTCGGGTAGCCTACTGGTTAAAGCGTTTGCTCGTCACGCCTAAGACCCGGGTTCCATTCCCATCATGGGTACAATGCGTGAAACCCAATTCTGGTGTCCCCCGCAGTGGTATTGCTAAAATATTGCTATAAGTGATAGAAGTTTTGGACACGGTAAACAAGTGGATGAGCAGACAGAAAAAGGCTTAACGTATGCAATAATTCGAGGCTGAAGCAGGCCGATAGGACGTCTGCCCGATAATTATGATCGTTGAAATTGCGCAGCGCGTCTAACACCGGGAACCTGTTTAATCCAAGTAAGGGGATACCCTCAGTGGTGGAATGTTTCGTTTGGGGGACGATTTCGCCTGTCGTTTTTTACCGTCTGTTTTACGCTAATTCCGTCTTGTTTTTGTTTTAAATTAAAGTTTGGTCAAGCATTTGTGATTAAGTATGCCCTAAAGTATTAAAAGTTGCCTGTTGACTCTATTTGCCCTTTAAGACATCATATTATAAA